CTTCCTAAAAGGAGTGACGAAATGACATAATAAAAAAATAAATGTTTTCTTAATCAAAGGGTGTCTTCCTCTATATTCTTGTGTGGTGAGCAATATTTTTGTCAAATGCCGACCAACCAAAGAGACAATTCATAAAATGAAGCGTAAATTAGTTCACTAGTAATAAGGGAGAGCTTTTCAATCTAGGCCATGTTTGGTACTTTGTGTTGGGTTGGACAGAATTGAAAGAGAATCTTCTGACAGACCAGGTCAATCCCCACTTCCGCCCTGAACTCTCATCCAACATCCCTCTCTTAGTCCCCCAGCATCTGCTCAGCCACACCGTGGCCCCTATCCCATCTGAGAATCGTTAGACTATCAGCCACAGCCATGTCAAACCAGTTACCCCTTCCACCACTTCTTTTTCTTGTTTTTGTTCTCTCCCTCTTTTTAATTTTCATTTTTATATTTGTTTTTCTTATATGACACAAAAATTTGTCTTTCTACAAAATTTAACAAATTTTTGACGGTTCCATACCTGCTTCAAAAGTTGAAGGCTGACAATAATGAAAAGATTATTTTATTATTCTATTGAAGTTGCTTAACTAATCTGCACATAAAAAAAAAATTTTTTTTTTTGGGTCTCTGTTATGCACACATAAAATAATGCTCATGAGGTCACTCAACTTGTAGGCAATTTATATAATTTAAGCAAATATCAAAATAAATCTCCAAATTTATATTGTATTTTGTTATAAAAAGTTACAATACCTACTACCAATTCAACATTATAAGACTACTAAGATAAATAACTCATAGACGATAACATCTCTTTTCACAACAGTTTGACATAAGTGACCATTTCACCTTCTAAAAGGAGATTACTTGCCTTGTCTTGGTTGTTCGAGGAAAACATTAATAAAAGCTAACTTGAGAGGGGAAAAAGAACTACTCATCACATCATTATGTCTTCATTCTGATTTTCCTATCTTCCCTGAAGTCTCTTTCAACTTTTCCTTCAATTCACCAGTCTGCATGATGCAAAAGACTTTCTGGGAAGCTAACTTGAGAGGGGAAAAAGAACTACTCATCTCATCATTATGTCTTCATTCTGATTTTCCTATCTTCCCTGAAGTCTCTTTCAACTTTTCCTTCAATTCACCAGTCTACATGATGCAAAAGACTTTCTGAGCATTTTTCCCAAGTACCGAGAAAGGCAGACTAACAGTTTTACTACAAAAAATAATTACCTGATGCATATTGAGAATAATATCTGATCCTCCAATGAACTCACCATTGATGAATATTTGTGGGAATGTAGGCCAGTGGCTGCAATAAATATACACAGATTAATAAGCACCTCCTGTAGAACAAATCAATTTTTAACTCTCTCTCTCTCTCTCTATTTTTTTTCATTTTTTGTTTAAGAGGGGAGAATTGCACATTCACAAAAGCATAGAGTTGGCGAACCCAG